TTAAATGTGTGTTGATTTTTTTTGCTACTATTTTTGGTAAATAAGTTAGCTTTTAATATATATAAAGATATAGATATAGATTGTACTAATAAAAGAGACTAATGTACCCCATTTAATGATTACGTGATAGTTTGATTATAAGAAAATTGGAGTAAAAAATCAAGGATATAATTATGACCTATAATACTGTATCTATTAATATAAAATAACAATAATGATTTGCTTTAAGTAGAAAGTAAAATACCGCCTAAAAATTTAGATTTTACTACAATTAGTAGCTTTTTTGAATATTTTTTTTTTTTTTTTTGAAAAATTAGCTTTTGATTTGTAATTTGAATTTTAAATTCATTAAAAAATTTAAATAAAAATATCATAAGCAAATTTATTTTTGGATATGTTCCATTTTATCTTAAATTATATATAATCACATTTCTAACAAACATTAAATTTGTTTGTATATTTTTAAATTAAGTACATAATAAATATATAATATTAATATACGTTAATTATTTATAATTATATAAAAAAAAGAATATAACTTCTATAAGTGTTATGAATAATTAATAATGACATTATACGATAATAATTTTTTTAATAAAATAATATTTGAGTATTATGATGAATGAATACATGTAAAATTATTATTTTTTCTGTATTAAAAAAATATAAATTTTAAAATATTATTTATATTAGTATAAACGGTAACACACTAATACATTGTTAAAATAAAGTTTTGAAAAAAAAAATGTTCCAAGGTACAAAACTCTCCTGCATCGCCCGGGATTCTCACAGGTCACTAACGGCATTATTGACCGAAATCCATCTTTGTTACGTACTCCAAATGAAGTAATTATAAAAGCCTCTCTTTCTCTCAACCTCCCTTGTGCTACCCTATATATACACGGCCGCATTCAATTATATATATCTGTTAACAAACAAGACATATTTATATATATATATATATATTTTATAGCCTTTCTTTCCATTGTTGGGTGCTTTGCTTAAAACTGGTTATGCGAAAATGAGCAATATGGAGATAGAGATAGCGTCTCACGGCGTGGCGGCGGATGTGGAAACGGGCGGCGGGGGCGGCGGCGCGTTTCTGACGTGGGAGGATTTGACGGCGGTGCTGCCGAATTTCGGTAATGGGCCGACAAAAAGGCTGATAAATGGGCTGAGTGGTTATGCTCTTCCGGGCCGGATCATGGCGGTTATGGGTCCGTCTGGGTCCGGCAAGTCCACCTTTCTTGATTCCTTGGCAGGTACGTACGTATTGGTTGCATTAGTTTATTTATTTAAAAATAAAAAAAATTAACTGGACAAAAA